AGTGTGGTAGTTACGATCGGCCAGTGATTTTGCAAGTGAATCTATGGGTGTAGCTAAAATTTCTGCTGTCCGATTGAGCCCGCGCGCATCCTTAGTAATGGAAATACTCACTTTCTTGTGTAGCTTTTCTGCCCCGATCAAGGCTCTTTGGCGCGAAGCGCCAGTTCATAATTGAGCCACGCATCATGAAAGTCGCTTTGCAATAATAACCACATTCTGGATGACCCATGTGGTGATTTTGCTCAGGCAATTCTTTCACCATGACGCAGGGGAAGCGTGAGCACCTGATAGAGAAAAATAACTGCCTTAGGTCGTGCGTGCACTTGGGAATATGTGGGCAACTTTAAGACGTCCGGGTGTGCAAGCTGATGATCAGGCACCGATCTCTGACAAGTCCCTGCAGTGGTGTTCCTGGAAGAATCAGTGGAGCCTCTATGGGAGAAGTGTGAGCGATCCTTGACGGAGGTAGTTGATTAGCGTAGGGATGGGTTCACCGGCTAAATTTTTATTTGGACATGGTGTGCCGGCGTGTTGGAAATTAACCAATCCTCCTCTTGCGTATTGACGGATGCGATTAAGTCTCTATAAAGGTCTTCTCAACGGGGAGTAGATTCCATTACTTGCACGTCGCGTCTATAGGCCGGCAAGGTGATTGTCTGGGGTCCATCCAATCGAAGGACCCACAGTTCAAGTAAGCAAGGGGGGCTCATATATCACTAAGCCGCTGCAAAGATAGTAGGTTGGAACCACAACTCCGCGATAATCATATACGGGAGTTGACCTGCGGCGTGAAACTATGAAGGATTCCAGATTCGTTAACGAGCTGAAATTAGACACAATCAATCTAGTAGGGACTGATGCTAGGCAACAGTCTTACAATTTTCATATGTCAGCGACTATGACAATGGATTCGGCCAATTCCGCTAACTCCCTCGGTACCTGGCGCCTTCATTTGTCCACTCGTACTGTTCACATTTCCTATATCAGAATAGATCTGTGCGGTTGACACTTCCAGGATCGGATGTCAATCCAAAATGCATTCATGCGCATCTTGGTCTTTGCGTGTTTCTATTTATACCGGACTGGGTCTCTGGGCCTCCCCTCACTCAGACACTGTTGGCAATGACCATTGATTTGGAGGAGACGGGGTTCCCCCAAACAGTCCAGGACGTCGAAAGTGTGTTTCTGGATGACTCCGTCCCCAACTTTCGGAAAGCACTTCAGAAGACTCGGCACCATGAAATTATCAAATTGACGATTTCTGGTACCTCTTGTATGTTTGTCTCGCTCACTCCTACTTACCACCCTATTTGCAGCCAAGTTCCCTTATTCCTTCTTTTCCCCCATTCCTGCGTATGGGTGGTATTTGTGGACGACCTGGACAAATGTTGTCTGCGTTGCATACGCCTCCGATATTCGTATGCCACGCTATTCCTTCATCCTTCATACTCCCTTGGCTAAATGCGTGCGATGTCCGGATAGGATTCATCGATTGGTACAGATTGTTTTCTGCCTCGCTTCTTACATCCATAATTCTTTGGTTCCTTCTCCTCTGGTGTCAATTCGCCTCTCTGCCCCCCCTGCAACGGATCTACTGGTGGTGGTCTGAGAAGTTCAATGGGAATGTTGGGCTCATAAACCTTCGTGAGTGCTGTCTTCAGGTCGTTTTGTTCTTCAATCCCTTACGCCAATGCCAGTTACGCCACAGCTCTTCAAGGGTCTACTCCCAGCACAAATTGCTGCCGCCGATGATGGTCTTTCTCTTCCTGAGGCGATAGAACCAGCCGGAAGCACTGCTCCTTTGGTTCGCGAGTTCAACCTTGATGTTGCCAAACTACTCCTCCAGATTTCGGCCGTCGTATACGAGCGAAGGAGCGATGCTATCTACGAGTCCGTCGCGAAAACTCATGGCGGTACATTCAAACGGGGGAAACTTGATGCAGATTTTCAACACTTCCGCGAAGCCATTGGTTCAACCTTTACTAAAATTGATGATGCCACCAAGTCGAAACTTGGATGGAACAAGCGTCGATGGGGTACGAATATTATCGAGGACTTCTGCAAAAGGACAGGACTTTCTTATGCGCCGATTAGCGAATTGAACTCTTCGACAAGTGTATGTATTTTTTTTTCTTTTTCATTAACCTTGATTTAGTCCGTAATGATACTGATAACGCTACAGGCTTTCGCCTCTTTCTTCTGGAAAGGCGGAGGAAATTGGATCGTCGTGGCATTCAAAGGCACTGGTCCCATTGACTTCCCCGATTACGTAACTGATCTGACATCACGATTGGTGCATGCGGATGAGGTCCTTCCAAAGTTCAAGCGTGAGGACCAGCTCCACAAAGGCTTTAGGGACCGAATTTGGCCTAATAATCTGGTAACTGATACTGAAATCCAAGGAAGAAAGAAATCTTGGGAGCAAATTAGTAGCTTGATCGTTAAACTTGCTGAGGATCTAGTTAAGCATCAACCCGCGGGTGACAAGATCAACGTGTGGTTCACTGGACATTCTCGTGAGTTGAAATGCCTTTTTCAATCTACGCAAAGGGAAATGCTAAACTGCCCGCCCGTGTGCTTTAAGTCGGTTGTGCATTAGCTGGTCTTGCGTATACCCGTGCGATCAACAACTTCGCGGAGGACTTTGGTAATGCTCCTATCGTGATTCGTGATGCATACGTATTTGGCTCTCCTGTTGTTGGTAATCGTTTTACGTCGCAACGGTTCAATCAGGTCATCAAAGGACAAAAGGAGATAAAGACTTTGTGGAGAGTCACGAATCACGACGATCTCGTCGCCACAGGGTATGTGCCACGTTTGTTTCTCTTCTTCATTGGCGAACACAGCGTCGTTTCTAACTGCGCTGCCTTTACTCTTACGACATGGATGTTTTGCTCTAGTGGTCCTCAACTCGGTGATAACCCTAATTTGCCGCTTACTCCGACGAACCCTGGTGGACTCGCTCATATCGGCGCAGAGATCCGGATGTTGGATTATGACAAGCCCTCTCATTTCGCTGGTACACTTTACGATGCGAACACTATCGTGAGGATCTGGAGTAAATTCACCGCGGAAGATTTGAAGGAACAGCGAGCGCAACAGCTCTTGCAGCATCCCGACTGGGAGAAGAGGGTGGGTTGGGGCAATTTTGTCCAGCAGATTCCATTGCTTGGGAGGCTCTTTGCCCATTCAGCAGGTTAGTTTGCCTTGCTCCTGAATGGCTTCTCTACACCTTGGACGCAGGCGCTGATCTTGTTTTCTGTTATCAGGTCTTTATTGGAATCAGCTGGCCGCTTTGGCTCCGATTCGCTGTGTGTGGGTGCAGGGCTGGGACCCCGTCGACCCGTTCTCCAAGCTTTATACCGAATCTATCAGTGGATGATCTTCCTTGTCCTAGAATTTCATGTAACCGAGATAGACACTTGGTGGCCTAAGTATGTGACCTGGTGGTCACGCAATGCATGTGGATGAGCCGAGAGGCCGGAGTACTCCTGCCTACTGTAGGATTCCGCGGGGCGTCAGAACCGGAATCATTTCACGTGATAACTAAATTGAAAATGGCTGATCACGTTGCAACAGTAATTCAGTTCCATGACGTCGTCAGATACATGGTAGAGGGAGTATCCAGGTGTTCCTCGGGATGGGTATTGTTGGGGACGCTTCATTGTCCACTCGGCACCTGTTCACGTTCTCTATCTATAGTGGCTGGTATCCTGCTTATTTACGTTCCCTGTCAGAATAATATAACAATATAACAATAAATTCGGACAACTCCGCTAGAATAAATCTGTACTATAGAGGTTGGTCACATGTTTAGTTCTCTCCGTGCGGCTGACACTTGCAGGGTTGAATGTCAATCCAATATATGCCTTCACGCGCATCTTGGCCCCTGCGTGTTTCCATTTATACCGGACTGGGTCTCTGGACCTCTCCTCTTTCCCCCTCACTCAGAGACTGTTGACAATGACCACTGATTTGGGAGAGACCGCGTTCCCCCAAACGGTTCAGGACGTCGAAAGTGTGTTTCTGGATGACTCCGTCCCCAACTTTCGGAAAGCACTTCAGGAGACTCGGCACAATGAAATTATCACATTGACGAGTATCTTGGTACCTCTTGTAAGTGTCCATGTTTGTCTCGCTCACTCCTACTCACTACCCTCTTTTACAGCCAAGTTCCCTTATTCTTTCTGGGCCCCCATTCCTGCATATGGATGGTATTTGTGGACGACCTGGACAAATATCATCTACGTTGCAGCCACCTTTGAGACTCGTATGCCATGATATCCCTCATCCTTCATACTCCTTTGGCTAAATGCGTGCGATGTCCGAATAGGATTTATCGATTGGTTCAGAGTGTTTACCTCCGCCATTTTTACGTCCATAATTCTTGCATTCATTCTCCTCTGGTGTCAATTCGCCTCTCTGCCCCCCGTACAATGGGTCTACTGGTGGTGGTCCGAGAAGTTCAATGGGAATGTTGGGCTCATAAACCTTCGTGAGTGCTGTCTTCAGGTCGTTTTGTTCTTCAATCCCTTACGCCAATGCCAGTTACGCCACAGCTCTTCAAGGGTCTACTCCCAGCACAAATTGCTGCCGCCGATGATGGTCTTTCTCTTCTTCCTGAGGCGATAGAACCAGCCGGAAGCACTGGTCCTTTAATTCGCGAGTTCAACCTTGATATAGCCAAACTACTTCTCCAGATTTCGGCCGTCGTATACGAGCGAAAGAGTGATGCTATCTATGACTCAGTCGATGCAACCGCGAAGGTTCATGGTAATAAACCCAAGCGGACGAAATTTGGTGCAAATCTTCCTCAATTCCGCCAAGCCATTGGTTCGACCTTTGCCGACATTAACTTCGTTCGCGATGGCTCCAAGTTGGCGAAACTTGGATGGAACAAGCATCGATGGGGTACGGATATTATCGAGGACTTTTGCAAAAGGACGGGACTTTCTTATGCGCCAGTTAGCGAATTGAACTCTTCGACGAGTGTATGTTTTTTTTTCTTCTCATTAACATTTGTTTAGTTTTTAATGATATTGATAAACCTTTCCACAATAGGCTTTCGCCTCTTTCTTCTGGAAGGGTGGAGGAAACTGGATCGTTGTGGCGTTCAAAGGCACTGGTCCCATTGACTTCCCCGATTACGTCACTGATCTGTCGTCACGATTGGTGCATGCGGATGAGGTCCTTCCCACGTTCAGTCAGCTTCATAAAGGGTTTAGGGACCGAATTTGGCCTAATAGACTGGTGACTGATGCTGAAATCCGAGGAAGAAAGCAAGCTTGGGAACAAATTAGTAGGCTGCTCGTTATACTTGCTAAAGATCTAGTCAAGAATCAACCCGCGGGTGACAAGATCAACGTGTGGTTCACTGGACATTCTCGTGAGTTGAAACGCCTTGTACAATCTGTGCAAAGGGGAAAGCTGAATTACTCGCCCGCGTGCTTTAAGTCGGTTGTGCGTTGTCTGGTCTTGCGTATACCCGTGCGATCAACAATTTCGAGGAGGACTTTGGTGATGCTCCTATCGTGATTCGTGATGCATACGTATTTGGCTCTCCCATTGTCGGTAATCGTCCTACGTCGCAACGGTTCAATCAGGTCATCAAACAACAAAAGGAGATAAAAACTTTGTGGAGGATCACGAATCATGACGATCTCGTCGCTACCGGGTATGTATCGCGTCTGCTTTTTTCCCTCAGCAAACATTCGGCGTCGATTCTAACTGCGTTTCCTTTACTCTTACAACACCGATGTTTGCTCTAGCGGTCCTCAACTCGGTGACAACCCTAACTTGGAGCTTACTTCGACGAACCCTGGTGGACTCGCTCATATCGGCGCAGAGATCCGAATGTTGGATTATGACAAGCCCTCTCATTTCGCTGGTACACTTTACGATAAGGACACTATCGTGAGGATCGACAGTAAATTCACCGCGGAGGATTTGAAGGAACAGCGAGCGCAACAGCTCTTGCAGCATCCCGACTGGGAGAAGAGGGTGGGTTGGGGCAATTTTGTCCAGCAGATTCCATTGCTCGGGAGGGGCTTTGCCCATTCAGCAGGTTAGTTTGCCTTTCTGGATGGTTTCTCCACTCTACACCTTGGACGCGGACGCTGATCTTGTTTTTTTGGCGCTGACTGCTATCAGGTCTTTATTGGAATCAGCTGGCCGCTTTGGCTCCGATTAACTGTGTTTGGGTGCAGGGCTGGGACCCCGTCGATCCGTTCGACAAGCTTTATACCGAATCTATCAGTGGATGATCTTCCTTGTCCTAGACTTTCATGTAACCGAGATAAGCGCTTTGTGCTCGTGCCATCTCGCTTCTGTGATGCTTGTATTTAAGTCTTCATCCGTCCTGTATCGTCCTGTTGGGTGAGGGTCCGTATTGGGGAACCAACCAATACTCATTCAAATGATGAATACAATTTATACGTTCTATGTGTGGCAAATTGCAGAGAAAGATGGTGGCATATGGCCTGGTAGAGGCCCAGAATAAAGTTGACAAGATGATACTGATGCAACACACGATGAAGATGCACATCAGTCTTACATAAGCGTCAGGGCGCTAGACAAGTGTTATCTAATTTGTTGCTATTTTTGGATTCTCACACGATCTACATGGATTATTTACTGGGCAATTTCTTCCTCGCCACTCCAGGGTTTCTGATGTGACTTCGCGTGGTTGAGATAGTCCTGGAATGTGGCTGCAGCTGGGCCGGGTTGTTGAAACTGCTTTGAGGTTCCTTCGTGCGCCGTTCGGTCATGGTGGGGGTAGCCATATATAGGTCCCGACTGCTTGCCAAGGCTAAGATCATTCCTTCTGTTTGGCATTCTTGAGGTCGGGTTGACATGCCTTGTGGCGACTCAGGTTGTTGAGCTTGCGGCGTTATGCTTACATCCTTGGTCGTCTTGTTACTGCTTGTACTGTATTCAGAGCACTTGCTTCTAAAGCGGAATCCTTTGGATTTACCCTTTTCCTGAATTAGTTCGCGTACAACGTGAATGCCTTCCAACCGTCCGTTCGATTGGTTTCACGCGCATCTCAGTTCCAGTGTATTTCCATTTATACCGGACTGTGTCTCTGCTGGGTCTCTGTGTCTCTTGTACTTCCCCTCACTCAGACACTGCTGTTGCGCGACTTGAAAATGACCACTGATGTGGGAGAGACGGGGTTCCCCCAAATAGTCCAGGATGTCGAAAGTGTGTTCCTGGACACATCCGTTCTCAACTTTCAGAAAGAACTTCGGAGGACTCGGCATGAGGAAATTATCACATTGACGAGTGTCTTTGGTACTAGGTTTGGTCGGTGTCCATGTTTCTCTCCCTCCTTCTTACTCACCAACCCTACTTATAGCGAGGTTCCCCTATACCTTCTTCGCCCCGATTCCTGCGTATGGATGGTATTTGTGGTCGACTTGGACAAATGTCGCCTACGTTGCATCGACCTTCGAGACTCGTATGCCACGCTATTCCTTTCGTCGTGTATACTCCCTTGGCTAATGCAAGCGATGTCCGGATAGCATTTGTTGATTGGTTCAGATTGGCTTCCTCCGCATTTATCATCTCCATAATTCTTTGGTTCGTTCTCCTCTGGTGTCAATTCACCTCTCTGCCCCCCGTACGATGGGTCTACTGGTGGTGGTCCGAAAGGTTTCGTGGGAATCTTGGGCTAATAAACCTTCGTGAGTGCTGTCCTCAAGTTCCGATCAGGTCGTTGTTCTTCGATGCCTTACGCCAAACGTCAGTTACACCAAACCTCTTCAAGGGTCTGCTCCAAGAACAAATAGCTGCCGCCGATGATGCTCTTTCTTGTCCTCCTGAGCCCCAAGCCTCAGCAGGAAGCACTGCTCCTGTGATTCGCGAATTCAACCTTGATATTGCCAAACTCCTCATCCAAATTTCCTCAATCGTATACGAGCGGAGGAGCGATGCCATCTACGAGTCCGTCGAAGAAACCGCAAGATCTCGCGGCCGAACCATTAGCTTGGCCTTTACCGACATCAACTTCGTTCGTGATGCCCCCAGGTTAGCGAAACTTGGATGGAACAGGCGTCGATGGGGCACGGATGTCATCGAGGACTTTTGCAAAAAGACGGGACTTTCTTACACGCCAGTTAGCGAATTGTCCACTTCAACAAGTGTACGTAATTTTCCACCCCCCCCCCCCACCCCTTACCCCTTTCCCGAGTTCTGTCCGCAACGTCGATATTGATAGCCCCTTCCCGAAACAGGCCTTCTGTTCTTTCTTCTGGAAAGGTGGTGGAAACTGGATTATTGTTGCATTCAAAGGCACTGGCCCTATTGACTACCCCGATTATGTTGTCGACCTGACCACACGAATGGTCCATGCGGATGATGTCCTTCCCACGTTCAGCCAACTTCACAAAGGCTTCAGAGACCGAATATGGCCGAGCAGACTGCGACGCCTCTTTGAAATATCAGGAAGGAAACATTCTTGGGACCAAATTCGTACGATGTTGATCACACTTGCTAATGACCTAGCCAGGCAACAACCCGCAGGCGAAAAGATCAACGTGTGGTTCACTGGACATTCCCGTGAGTTGTTTCGAAACGTCTTTTACAATACTATGCACAGGAATGCTAGCTGCCCCCCCGTGATTAGTCGGTTGTGCATTGTCTGGTCTTGCGTATACCCGTGCAATCAACAACTTCTCGGAGGACTTTGGTGACGCTCCTATTGTGATCCGTGATGCGTACACATTTGGTGCTCCGGTTGTGGGCAATCGTCCTACGTCGCAGCGATTTAATGTGGTCATTAGAGGACAAAGGGACGTGAAGACTCTGTGGAGAGTCACGAATCGCAACGACATCGTTGCCACAGGGTATGTGCCGCGTTTGTTTCTTTTACTTCATTAGCCAACATTCGCTGTCGTTTCCAATTGCCCCGGAACACCCGGAACACCCATTGTTTGTTCTAGTGGTCCTCAACTGGGCAATAACCCCAACTTGGAGCTTACTTCAACGAACCCTGCTGGATTCGCTCATATCGGCGCAGAAATCAGGATGCTGGATTACGACACTCCTTCTCAGTTCGCTGGTACACTCTACGATGCGGACACTATCGTGAAGATCACGAGTATATTCACCGCAGAAGATTTGAAGGAACAGCGAGTGCAGCAGCTCTTAGATCATCCTGACTGGGAGAAGAGGGTGGGATGGGGGAATTTCGTTCAGCAGATTCCAGTGGTCGGGAGAGTCTTTGCCCACTCACCAGGTCAGTTTACCTTTTTGTGGTCTCCTGGATGCTTTTTTCCACACCTTGGGGGACGCACGCTGATCATATTTTCCCTATTTTCAGGTCTTTATTGGAATCAGCTGGCCGCTTTGGCCCCGATTTACTGTGTCTGGGTGAGGGGCTATGAACCCGTTGATGTGTTCTCCGCAATTTTTTTGCTGTTCATCAGTAGATGATTTTCCTGGTCTGTGATTATGCGACCGAGATACGTGTCTTGGTAGTGTCGCTTCTTCTTGTTTGCGCCTGTATTTAAGCCACCATCCTGTGTTTGGTAGGGGTCATTCATATTGGAAATACTCAGACTCCCGTTGCTTTGCTACATCATTCTCGACTTCTGGGTTGAACTTTGGTTGAGAGCATTTCCTGGCACCAGTTTGGCTGTTCGACATCTTTTTGGCTAGAAAGGGTTTTTCCCCACTTTCCGGATCGTGAGTACAACTAGGTACTTAGCGGTAGGCAGGACTCTAGTGCCGAGGAGCGCGCGTGATGAAGAGCTTGGTTTTGAATTACAATTGTGTTACTCGATCGATATCGCACCGGGCGCGATGCTTCAATATGTAATGCATGAATTTAAAGCCCTAGATCTCGCTTTGTGCCGCTTGAAATTTCATGTGTCACGGGGTGTATTCCCATATGATTGCTGACATGCAATTACAAATATTGTCTAGGTGTTGGCGCATGACTACCATGTCCGCATTCAGTATGTAAGGGTCTCTATTGTCGTGGGAACCATGCATTTCCTTCGTTATATATAACTTGGGTCATTCATTTGGCGGTAGGGCGAACACTCGGCGCATTCTAGATGTTCCAGACATATGCAGGGTGCTGGTGGAATCCCCCAAGCTGTTGGGGTCAGTCGAAACTGCACCTTTTGGACTGGGTACATGACTGACTGCTCGTCGTACCACCGAAACTTGATTCCCTCCATTCTCGATTCACACGAGATCAAGTTGGAAAACCAGGTACCGGACACCCATTCCCGATATATAAACCCTGGATGTGTATTCACGTGCATTTGTTGGCTCCTTTGTGTTTCTATTTATACTGTGCAGACGAAATGGTTGTCCGGTGTCCCTCCCCCCATCAGACATAGTTGCGCGACTGGACGATGGCCACTGATTTGGAACAGACGGGGTTTCCCCAGGCAGTGCAGGACGTCGAAAGTGTCATCCAGGACCCATCCGTTGACAACTTTCGGAAAGAACTCAAGGAGGCTCGGCACAAAGAAATCGTCGCATTGACGAGTGTCTTTGGCACTGTATCTGGTCAGTTGTCCACATCTATCTCACTCCCCCCTCCCACTCACCATCATTATTAGCGAGGTTCCCTAGTACTTTCTTTTCCCCCATCCCTGCGTATGCAAGGTATTTGTGGGCGACTTGGACAAACATCGCCTACGTCGCGTCGACCCTCGAGACCCGTACGCCCTCTTATTCCTTGTATCAGTCATATTTCCTTGGCTAATGCGAGTCAACCCCGGATAGCATTCCTGGACTGGTTAACTTTGACGCTCACCGCACTTCTTACATCCACCTTTCTTGGGTGGGCTCTCCTCTGGTGTCAATTCGCCTCTCTGCCCCCCGTACAATGGATCTACTGGTTATGGTCTGAAAAGTTCGGTGGAGATCTTGGCCTCGTAAACTATCGTAGGTGCTCGCCGTCAAATTTCAAGTCGTTGCTCTCTCCAACGCCTCACCCAAACGTCAGTTACACCAAATCTCTTCAAGACTCTACTCCCAGAACAAATAGCTGCCGCTGATGATTCTCTTTCTGTCCCTTCCGAGTCGCATGCGCCAACTGGCAGCACTGATCCTGTCATTCGCGAGTTCAACCTCGACATCGCCAAACTCCTCGTTCAAATCTCCGCGATCGTCTACGAGCGGAAGAGCGATGCCATCTACGAGACAGTCGAAAAAACCGCAAAATCGCACGGCGACAAATCCAAATTGAAGGTTGGCGCAAACGTTCAGCAATTCCGGGATGCCCTTACCTCGGCCTTTACGGACGATACCCTCATTCGCGATGTCGCCAAGTTGGGGAAACTTGGATTCAACAAGCATCAATGGGGTACAGATGTTATCGGGGACTTCTGCAAAAAGACTGGGCTTTCATATGTGCCAGTTAGCGAATTGAACTCTTCAACAAGTGTACGTGGTTTTCGCATGACACAACCTTGCCCAGCCTTGTTCAGTCCGCAATGATATTGATAAACCCTTTCCGGAACAGGCCTTCTGCTCTTTCTTCTGGAAAACTGGCGGAAATTGGATTGTTGTTGCATTCAAAGGCACTGGCCCCACTGACTACCCCGATTACGTCGCCGACCTGACCACACGAATGGTACATGTGGACGAGTTCCTTCCTACATTCAGTCAAGTCATCAAAGGGTTTAAAGACCGGATTTGGCCGAGCAAACTGCAAAGCATCTTGGAAATAGAAGGGAGGAAACGATCTTGGGAACAGATTCGTAAGATGTTGATATTACTTGCTAATGATCTGGTCAAGCAGCAACCTGCGGGTGAGAAGATCAACGTGTGGTTCACTGGACATTCCCGTGAGTTGAACATGACTTGACCCATCAATGCGGAGGATGCTCATCGGCTTGTGATTACGTGATTAGTCGGTTGTGCACTGGCTGGCCTTGCTTACACCCGCTCAATCAGCTCTTCGGAGGACTTTGCTGGCTCTCCGATTGTGGTCCGTGATGCATACGTGTTTGGTGCACCTGTTATAGGCAACCGTCCCACGTCGCAACGGTTCAATGTCGTCATCTCAAAAGGAGAGGAGGTGAAGACTCTGTGGAGAGTCACAAATCACAACGATATCGTCGCAACAGGGTATGTGCCACGTTTCTTCAACTCGTTGACATTTCTGATTACACCTTTACCTCTGGAACACGAATGTTTACTGTAGTCTTCCTCAACTCGGTGATAACCCGGACTTGGAGCTCACTACAACAAACCCTTTGGGGTTCGCTCATATCGGCGCAGAGATCAAGATGCTGGATTACCCTACTCCCTCTCAGTTCGCTGGTACACTCTACAATCGCAACTCTGTTGTGAGGGTTACGAGTAAATTCAGCGCAGAAGATTTGAAGGAACAGCGAGAACGTCAGCTTGCAGTGCACCCCGACTGGAAGCGGAGGGTTGGGTTGGGCAATTTTGTCCAGAAGATTCCGTTGGCTGGGAGACTCTTTGCCCATCTAGCAGGTCAGTTAGTTACCCTTCTTCTACTTCTGAGATCGCTTCTTCACACACCCTGGGATGCTGATTGTTTTACTGTTGTCAGGGCTTTACTGGAATCAGCTGGCTGTTATGGCACCTGTTCAATGTATTTGGGTGAAGGGCTACTAGAAAAAAAATGACGTCCCCGGATGATCGGTTGCTCCAGAGCTTTTTTTGCTGATGATCGCTAGATACATGGTTGTTTGCGTGTTTTGAATTCCTCATGGCCATTTTCTGCAATGGGATATGCGTTCGATGCCGTAGCTGTACATCTCAATTCCCGCTACTCCGTAGCGCCCTGTCTATTAGTGTTATGGCATATTCCATTGCTTCCCAACCACAGACCCGTAATGTTTCGCAATCGCGTGTGTGATCCAACCTGAGTTGCTCTGAACCTTCTTTTGCCTTCCAGGTTCTCATTCAAACTCCTCCCCGGTCTGTATTGTGATCCTGTGGGGTGAAGCTGTCTGGCCACACCCCCCTAAGTAAACTTCTCAATACAAACGTAACTTGTCGAGTGATGGTGAGTACCATCATGAGTCTGTAGTAAACGGTTTTTTTTTGTTGGCCATGGTGTATGATGGCACTCATTGTCAACGACTGGGAGGTTTTCTTGCTTGCTCAAGCATTGCTCACAGTACTGCTGCTGACATCAGCATTTCATTCCTTCACCGGATCTCCTGTTGGAAGTCAAGCTCAAATCATGTGTTTACATCAGGTTATCGATTTTAGGCTGAGGTTACAAGTTACTACAGTTGCGGACATGCAAAGACAAGAAATTTTCTACAGCAGGATTCTTTGAATCAGTTAGCTTTATTTTGTCAAAATTGGAACCCTTTTGACAGGATATGCATAAAAACACAATCCTTAGATTTTTCTCTATTTTTTCTAGCACCCCGCAAAAATTTGAGCTGAATTTTGGAATCCTTATTTAATGGCTTTGAGCATTTCCATGTATGTATCTACAAAATCTGGAACAGAATATACGCTTTCAAGAAGAAAATGTCAGCTTTGAGCTTGGTTGTGCTCTCTGATATTGCGTGATTGCATTGCTTCAGCAAAGGTAGGGGCTCCAGTCATCGTTATCTTTATCACTTGAGTCTGAAATATATTCAATGCCCTCCATAGGTTGTTTAAAGATTGAAATTATGCTGCCTGCTCTTGGTGGCATGTGCAGGCACTTGCAGTTGGGTCGGAACCAATTCAGGTTGTTTCATGAAAATTGATTTTGATGCCTCAGTTCAATTACTCCTGCTTCCAATTTTCCGTAATCATCATGTAGACCATCAAAGCTACAAAATGAGCCCCAGATTGCACAGTTCAGGAACTATAGTGCCTTTAAAGTGCTTTCAGGACATATAATTATTTGCAAAATTGAGGAAGAAATGATGGAGAAAAATGGAAAATACTTTCGGAGACCTGAGAAGTAATGAGAACTGAATTGATGGGAAAGTCTGAAAATTGAATAGGAAAGTGAGGGGAAGCCTTGTAGCATTGTTATTTTCTGCTGTTGTGATTTTTCCTGATTGTTCTTGGTCTCACTCCCAGCTGCTCCTGGACCCTCCCAGGAGCTTTCAGGAGCTTCCAGGAGTATTGAGGAGCAGCTGGGAATGAGACCAAGAAGAATCAGGAAAAATCAGAACAGCAGAAAATAACAATGCTACAAGGGTTCCCCTCACTTTCCTATTCAATTTTCAGACTTTCCCATCAATTCAGTTCTCATTATTTCTTGGGTCTCCAAAAGTATTTTCCATTTTTCTCCATCATTTCTTCCTCAATTTTGCAAATAATTATATATCCTGAAAGCACTTCAAAGGCACTACAGTTCCTGATTTTTTTTTGATTTTTTCCCTAATTATTTTTTCAACTTTTTAGAAGTCCCTATTTTTCAAATTTTCCTCATTTCCCTCTATATTCCCCCCTCATTCTCCCCCTCATTTCCCCCCTCATTTCCCCCCTCATTTCCCCCTCCTCCATATTCTGCAAGTCCGAAAGTGATTAAGTTGCTAGATTAATCATATATCAGGCCATAAATTTTGACTGTGTATTGGTGAGTCTCAGTGTCCTTGATGTACAGTATAGTGTTTGATCTAAATGTTAAGTAGTTGTCAGGGGACGGACCCCAGGACCCCATGACCCCTCTCTATGGCCCACAGCCTGACCTATGAACAGCCCTGTCCAGGGCAACAACTCTACTGTGGGTAAGAAAGTGAATAAGATAAAGGCAAGTAATGTACACTTGCCTACTGTGGGTAAGAAAGTGAGAAGAAGGTTAACTTCTCACTTTCCCACAGTGGCCCAATATGGTGAAAACTTCCAGGGATACCTGGAAGTCACATGAAGGTAGGATCCAGGGGCTGGAGCATGCGGCACATGGATCATGCAGTGTGGGAAGTGTGCATGGGAAGTGGAGCGGGTCCGGATGCGGGTCCGGGTCCAGGCTCAGTCAGGGTATGTGCCCTGACAGTAGTGTCTTGTTGTGTTAGTCTTGTGGTAGGAGGTATTCATGGGGAGTCTTCCCTCTTTTTTTCCCTTTTCATTTTCAAATGCTCCAGGAGCTCCCAGAAGCTTCTCACCCCTATACATTTTGAAGCATTAAATTGTATTTACTGGATATGTTTGTGCACAAAGCAATGCTCCATGCCCTCCTGGGAGTGCCCTGGAGTACCTGACCAACTCCAGAGGAAATGAGCTGTTCCTGGACTGGCCAATCTCCTCCTGATTCTCCCAGTGCTCCCCATACTCCAGAGCACTCAGGAGCATAACAATTTTTTGCTGATGCAAGGGTAGGCTGGAAGTAGACAAAGGGAGCTGGAAGGGGGAACAACACTGAGGGTCAAGGGTTTGACTCAATGGTGTTTCCCAAGGAGTGAAGGGCCAAGGCCCAAGGAGGAAGGAAGGAGGATGGGAGTTGGGAATGGTTAGCTGACTGAATAGAAGGAAGCAGCAGCCCAAATAGGGATGAGGGAGAATAGTGGAATTGAATGGGACAATGCAATAGTTGCAAGGTCTGAAGTAAGTCCAGAAAGTCTGAACTCAGAAGTCAAACTCCAGAATATTGGCAAGGGTAAATAAATAGAATTAGCTAACCAATACAATGGAGATATGTAAGTGGAGGTGGGGTCAAAGTCTGAGGTTGGAGCTAAAGTGTAAGGCCATGCATGCTCCCTTATTTTTTGTTCAAATATTTTATTCTTGTATATACAATTCATTTAAGTTATTAGGGGGTTTCATGATGGGCTAAGCTAGCCTAAAGTGCATCAAAACTGCTGATCCCTAAACTGGTCAGAACTGGTTCTAAACTGTCAGATTAGCTGAATTTGTAAACAGGCCTCTGAAGGCTGAAGCTGTACTTTAGAGTAGTCCAAACTCAAAACCCAAACTCAGGCTTAGTATACATATGTCCATTCAGATATCCTTCATTGAATTAGTCCTGCTCTCCATCGCTGTAGGAGGGCACAGCAAGTACCACACAAACAAGGCCAGAAACATGTTTTTCGAGGCTCCAATGAGCACCCTCAAGCCCCTGACACATTCACAATGCCCACGGCACATTTCCACATTTTTTTCCAATTTTTCCATGCTTTTTTCTCAAGACTCATATTGCCACTTCCCCAAAATTCACGGTTATCCACCATTTCCCCCATATCTCCACCAATTTTCCACCAATTCACACAATTTTGAGCTTGAAGGACAGCAACGGATCAGGAGAAGAGGATGGAATGATGGGATGGGAGTTAGGATGACGGATATGCGGTGGAGAAGCGAGATTGATGGTTGATATTGATCTTATGGGCCTCAATTATTGATTTTATTGTTACCTTGTGGACACCTTTTTGCCTTATTGTTTCTTAGCTGAGTTCTTAACATTCTTCCTGTTTCCATTGCCACCATCCATCGGCTATTTTCATTCTGATTTCTCTTTTTTTCTATATATACACCCAGTTTGCGTTGTACTTACAGTTGTTGGACCCCTCTTCTGTGCTACAAAGACTGTGGTGTTGAGTGATCCTTCCACACGTTTTAAGAGCCTAGTTTGACTCCCTGATGACTGCCCAAGAAGGACCAGGGTGAGTTCGGAGTTTAAGAGAATTTATTAGTATTGTGCACTTGCACTGGGACCATGTGTGGCCTTACCAGTAGTAAGATTTTCTTTGCCCCCCTTTTTCTTTTCTTGTTTGCTGCTGGGTTACATTGCTAGCATGCTTACATCGCTATCAGCACCGTTGTTGCAGTCAACCCCACCCCACCACATCATGCCATCAACTTAGCTACTGACTGTCATATCCATACAATTCCAGACCTCTGCTCCTGATTCTGGACCTCCATCTCCTCTTCCAGAACTCCACATCCTCCACATCCTTCACCTCCACCTCCCCCTGTTGGTTGTTGAGAGTCCACTCTACCTCTGGCTCCAACACAACGTCCAACACTACCTCTGGTCCGACTCCAGTTTACTCCAGGTCCAATCCCAACCTTGTACCTTCCAGGCCAGAGCTTGTGATGCTCCACACCTCCAGCTCCAGACTCCTGTACTGGAACCCCATCGCACCTCCACCTCCAGAACTCCGGTCATGTCTCCGCCTCCAGACTTTGACCGCCTCCTCCATCTTATCTCCTTGTATTCCTTATTGCATTTCATTTATTACATCTAGCCAATATTCTGGACTTTGACTTCCAACTCCAGACCCTGCAGTCTCTATTGTATGGTGTCATTTAATCTTCTTCCTTATTTAGACAGCTGTTTCCTTTCCATATTAGTCAGCTGTCATTCTGTAAGGGGTTGGTGTAGGTGCCAACCCTGGTTAGCCTAGTTCCTCAGGCTGCCAACAAATGTAACTTGTATGAAGTTATTATTTGCAACAGTATGGGAGGAAAGGCTTCATTGCTCTTTCCACTTTCCCACACTATATTATGTACTTTGTATATCTCATAATGAAGTGAGGTTGAATGTATTGACTAGAGACCTTAAACCTGTGGGGTGCTCGTTCCTTGCACACCCACGCATTCTTTGGACTCTAGCTCCTGTGGAGGGCATTGGGGCTGCACCCCGAACCCCCTGGGGCATTGCCCCAGACCCCATTGGGGCTCTGCCCCATGCAACATCATCCTTGTTATTATTGTTCCCCATGTGCTAAAGAAACAATGAGATGTATGGTGATTATTTATGCACCAAGGGGCCAGCCCCTTGAACCCCTGCTCCTGTGGAGGGCCATCAGGGCCTTGCCCTGAACCCCACTCCTGCAGAGAGCCTTGGGGCTGCGCCCCAAACCCCACTCCATCAATCATACACAGGAATGAGAAATGCCTTTCCCCTCTTGGCAATCCACTGGGAGTGAGGGTTTCCTT